TGAGGCTAGAGAAAAATCACGCGAAAGCTGGTACCTTTCGTGGGCATTAGACACCAATCAGGAAGAACGTGACAAGGGTAAAACTGTTGAAGTAGGCAGAGCCTTCTTTGAGACAGAGCGCAAGCATTTTACTATTTTGGATGCTCCTGGCCACAAGAGTTTCGTACCCAATATGATTGGTGGCGCTGCACAAGCCGATTTGGCAGTGTTGGTCATCTCTGCACGAAAAGGTGAATTCGAAACTGGTTTCGATCGCGGTGGGCAGACGCGAGAACATGCTATGTTGGCTAAGACTGCTGGTGTTAAACATTTGGTTGTTTTGGTTAATAAAATGGACGACCCGACTGTAAATTGGGATGAGGAACGTTACAACGAATGTAGAGACAAGATTTTACCATACCTCAAAAAATTGGGATTTAACCCTTCAAAGGATTTAACCTTTATGCCTTGCTCTGGTTTGGGCGGCGCCGGTTTGCGTGATCCTGTACCAACTGCTATATGCCCTTGGTACAGAGGGATGGCGTTCATACCATTCATTGATCAGTTGCCTTCACTCAATCGCAACGCCGAAGGCCCATTCATAATGCCTATTGTTGATAAATATAAGGATATGGGTACTGTTGTAATGGGAAAGGTGGAGTCAGGAACAGCGCGAAAAGGACAAAACCTATTGGTTATGCCAAATAGGGTACGGAAAGTTGTTGTGACTATTACTTTGCAAATAAAAATACTTTTATTCTTACTTTATAGACACAAGTTTCCGTAGATCAACTATTTTCCGATGATGATGAAGTGACCTCTGTGGGTCCTGGCGAAAACATTAAAGTCAAACTGAAGGTATGTACAATAATGCTTGTGGTTACAGCATATTGTCAAAAACCCTTTAATATTTCATTAAAATATTTTACTCTTTATAGGGAATTGAAGAAGAGGATGTTTCCCCCGGTTTCGTTTTGTGTGATGCTACCAACCCTATTAAAACCGGCAAAGTTTTCGACGCGCAAGTGGTTATTTTGGAGCACAAATCTATTATTTGCGCTGGCTACTCGGCGGTCATGCATATTCACTGCGCAGCTGAGGAGATTACTGTGAAAGTAAGTTGAAGTGCTTGCAAATCTAATTTACTTCTGTATCCAACCTCTGGAATGTCCAAATTTTTTTAGGCATTAATTTGTTTGGTTGACAAAAAGACGGGAGAAAAATCAAAAACACGTCCAAGATTTGTAAAACAAGATCAAGTGGCAATTATGCGTATTGAATGTTCCGGAATGATTTGCCTTGAACAGTTTAAGCTATTCCCACAAATGGGTAGATTTACGCTGCGAGATGAGAGTAAGTGTTCTAACTAGAAGTAATCTAAGCAAATATTTTGAATTATACTTACATATTTATATTTGCAGACAAAACTATTGCTATCGGCAAGGTGTTGAAGGTAATCGAATAAATTGAGCACAGCTAAATTAGTCGAATCACCTTTCTTCTAAACAAGAAACAAAAAAGAGCCTAAATGAACAGCGTCAGACTCGTTAAACGGAAATCATTAATGCCATTTCAGACAAAAATGAAAATAACAATGAAGCTGGGCAAAATATGATGAATAAAAAGAAATTTAAAACAAACACACATACACACTTAATTATAACATAAAACGAACGAAAAAATATGAAAAGTGAACATATTAATACATAATTATATTATTGCTATAATTAAATATGAGAACTTATATACAATTACAGATTTTATTTTTTCGGTTAAATTAAAAAAAAAGTCAAAAACCGTAAGTGAATTACTAACGCAAATGAACATTTAAATAACTGCTGCTAAAAGTAAGCGTAATGAAATTTTGAATTGAGTTTTTTATATATTATATAAATAATAAAAATCGATAGCATTTTAAGGTCGAGATATTTAAACATGAAATAAAAATTTAAACACTATAGCGCAGTTCCCTTCAGTAACAAATATGACGATGCAACAACCTAATAAGAATGCAGAACACTTATCGAATGTTAAGCCACATACGTATAAAACACATTAACATTACGTTTCATTCATCCGCTAATGTCACTGCAAAAATAACATATTTTAGCAATAATTGCAACATTCATATATGTATGTAGTACTTCTGGCCGCCGGATGTAGAAATGCAAAATTATTACAAAATACAGACTGATATCGGGTTGGTCTGATCGAGCGGCGACACATACACACACGCATAGACACAAAGTTACCTAACTTTAAACATAAATGCTGAAAGGATTTTTTACTTAAAACGTTTTCTAGATATTCCTTTCTTACGTAGCTTTACAAAAAGGAGTTTATTTATTAAAAAATTCAAAGAAAAAATAAGCTTATTGTTTTGACGATCGATGATTGATCGATGGGCCTGTTGAATTGGCATAAAACTGCATGGATTGTTAATTAATATTTATAACCTACATACACATATGTTGTCTACAGTATATTGGTTTTAAGTGGTATTTTGCCAGATATCTAATCGACGGAGACGAGTTATACCTTAAACGGCTAACTACTACATCGGTTGATCAAATTTTTTGGCGGAAATTGAAGAATAATATACTTTTTTTTTATGAATTCCAACGAACTTTTAATTTTATTTGCACTTTTTAAGTTGTGATATGTATTTTACCATTCAAAATCCATTGATATTTTGTATGATTAGTTATGGACGTTTTCTTATAATGCTTGATTCAGTTATCAAATCTGCACAACTTCTCCATTATCAAATATTACAGAGTCAAAAGAAACGACAAGCAATTGTACTGCTTAGCACTGACACAAAATGAGTAATGTATTTACCTACATAAATATATGTACATATTTATAGAAGAAACAAAATTTGATTTTTTTGAGAACAATTGAAAACTTGCAATTTTATGGGTCGATTATGAATAGCAATGCAACCTCAGTTGAGAATAGCAACAATAGTTATGTGCTACAAAGTTTAAGATAATCGATTTTTTTTGGTAACAGCAACCAACATTTGAGTGTAAATAAGTCGTGGAAACAGTTGAAAAAAATAAATAAATTTTCACAATCAAAAAATTTCAGCGGCAACCACAAAAATGCAGTTGCCAATATAGTAACTCACTTGCCAGCTTTCAGTCGTCAGTTGCCATCTGTAATACGATTTCAGCCACTGGCAACGCAACTGAAGTTCGGTTGTCATCCGTAATCGACTCATTAATCTATTTAAAAATCCATGCATTAAAGCTCATATTGAAATGTTTGATTTAACTACAATTGAAATCATGTATGTACTATGTTTGCATTTTGACTACATTTTAAAATAAAAATGAAATAAAAACTATTAATCAGCTTAAAAATGTCATTAATTGCTTTAGGTATTGTAAAAGTATAAATCCGTATGAATTAGATTGCATTGCACATATTTTCACCTTATTTGTTTGGGAAGTAAAGCTGATTTTGAAGAAAAAACACCAAAAATGAAACAAAAATAGAAAGACAAAAACGCATAATAAATGTCGGCCATATGTCAAATAAAGTGTAAAAATGGCAAACACAACAAAACCTGACATATTTTTTAACCACAGAAGAAGAACGGCTAGCGAAGGATAGCAAATATATTTTCACACTGCATCATGGAGGCCCCTGGCTTTTGAGCTGCTTTCTACTGATACATGTTTCGGGATTTGCCCGTACACTTGAATTTAATGACGGCTGGCTAGATTAAGTGTACTCAACTTTCCCGGGACGAAAATTACCATTAAATACCATGATTTATTTTTTTAGATCATACCAAAATAATTTTTTTTTATTTTAATGTTTTTCGTTTAAGAAAAATCCTATTAAATTTGATGGTTATTTTTCAAAAAAAAAAAATCGTCATTTTGATTTTTTTCTTTCGATCACTTTTAACCATTTTTATGACCGTTTTAAATCTATGATTTTAACAAAATGAAATCTGAAAATAACGGTCAACGGAAAGGACCTACTTCCCGTACAACCCGGACCAGATCAGATTATTAGAGAGTAATCGAAAAATTTGCTCTCTAAAATGGTACAATGCCCAGAAGTACGGGAACGCAAGAAACACATTTCGTGCCCAGAATTTGAGAAACAGCTGATGATACCAAATAAAATACGGTTAACACTCCAAACTTTCTTGCTACTTCACTGCAAGGAGTCTAATCCTCTCCCCTTCGAAATCCTCGCCAACCATTTTCACCACAATTCCGACGGTGAACAACCGGAAAATTCTTTTTCGCGGTGCACACAACCGCATTTGCTAACAAAGTACAAAGCCGCAGCAAGGACCTCAATTCGGCAGTACTTGGGGGGAGGGGCAAAGACAAAGAAACGTTGTTGCCAATATAAAATGCAATTGGCTCGCCGGTCCTGGATTGGGACTGTACAGACAAGCACTTACAGATAGGCTGTTACCACCTAGACAGACTCCAGTCGCATGAATGCAGTCATCATTGTCCAATCACCAGCTGTGGACTAGCGTGAGCTCCAACTGCCACAAGACACCCGAGTAGCTCTGGCTCGACATCTCCAATGAGTGTCCAGCATGTGTAGGTTACCCCCATGACATCAACCACCTCTTCACATGCCCACTTAATCTAACTCAACTAACACTCCTCTATCTCTGGTTCGAATCCATCGAAATATCAAGTTTCTTACCGTTAGTTGAGCCTGCCCACCCGAAGATATTTCGACCCGTTTCTCTATCGAGAAATTAATGAAAACGGCAATGTTTTCGATCTTTTCGATTATCGAGAAAGTAGCGAAAACGAAAGATATTTCCACCCGTTTCTCTATCGAAAAATTAATGAAAACGATAATTAGAGCTATTCCATTCCAGTTGATTCCCATATAAGAAGAGTGCTTTTAAAATTTTAACAGTTGTTCTATATTTAATAGAGTGTTCAGTTTTATCATGTTTTCAAACAATTTAAATATTAAAATAATAAATATTCATTACTTAAAAATTATAACTTGAACATGTTATTAAAACTTATTATTTGTGAACATCATTTTGAATCCTTTGTTTTTTTTCCTGGTACTTGTAAATTTTGCAGACTCGGTCATGTGCGTACTGAAAAAATTTTTGACTTACTTTGTCAAATTCGCTCTCCTCCAACGCAAACTTTTTTGTAAACGCATCTGAATAAAATGTTAAAAGAAATTAAATGACTATTCGATACAGCTGTTCGACTTACTTCGAATTGCCAAGGCCAAATTCATCCCTCTTATGCATTTTTTTCCCCTGTCCCACGCCATGAAAACTGCTGCGCTAACGTGTCTTCAAACAATGACCGCCACGAGCTTCTTATAAATTTATCGTACGACTTCTCTCCATTGGTGCAAATTTCATGAACCTGAATACAAATATAGGTATATTAAAACAAATATATATTAATGTAATCATTGGAAATTCAAAATTAAATAAAGTGTCTGCTTGTAGTAAATTGTATTGAGAAATGAAACATTCAGCCCTATCGCCAATTCCATGTGAATAAATCGTTCCCATAATTTGACATGCAAAACAAAAACAAATTGGGAAAAATTGTTTTTGTTTTACTTTATAATTTTTGGGAATATTTGTTCATGTGAAATTCGCGATAGGGCCGATTCTTTTAGGAAAATACATAAAAACTACCCTTACAAATTTTTTAAATACTTCTTCGTTCTTAAGTTTTTCTTCAAGGTTATTAATTTCTTCTAAAGTTGAGAAAGGAGAGCGAAGAACTATTTCACGCTCAATGGATATTTCTCCGTAAACTTTAGCTTTTATGGAAGTAACCTCGTTCCTTACAGAAATCATTTCCATATTGAGGCGATCGACTTTTGTTGTTAATTCACTAACTTTTCCATAGACGTCATGCAAAAGTTTAAGAATCTCTAATAAAGATTATTTTGTAATTTTTGAAATTGTTATAAAGTATTCAATAAATACCTGTTAATTGTTGTTCATTGTTGTTGTCATATAAGTTGCTGTTATGTGCAGGTCTTTGTGTGTAAATTGTTCCATCGTCCATATTGAAAAGGTCGGTATATTGATGTGCCATTTTAACCTAATAATGTATCAATGGCATATAAATATGTATTTGGTCAATAATATGACAAACTTTCCCAGATATTTTATCTACTGGGTGTTTAATTATTTCAGAGTCTATTTCAAAACTTTTAGAAGAAAAAATACCCACCAAGGTCGAGTCTATAGGATAACTAAAAAAAAGGATCTAAGTCAGTAACTAAATTACTAAATAAAGTATTATTGACTATTTCAAAAATTTTGTATATTTTGTAAACGGAATGGTCTATAACAAAATAAAATGAATTAGTACCTTTCAAGTTAAAGTAAAAGTCCTTATAGACAATATTTTTTCGGGAAACGTCTGAATTTAGTTTACATTCTTTGTGCACAACATCAAATAAACTTCGCTCAACTATGCGGTTATAAAGCTGCTCTAATACGTTATCACTTTTTTTTACCATATTTTTGAGTTGTCCTAAGAAATTTTCAAAAGGAAAAGCACTTATGGTTTCAAGAGAGCCAAAAATCCTTGATTGGCTACTGAGATGGGTTAAAAAATGAAAATTATATGTTAACATCGTCCCAGAGTATAATGAGGAAACGTCCTTCACAAAGTTGTTTAATAAACTATTTGCAAGTGCATTTTTCGTTTTGCAATATTCATTGTGAAGAAGAAGCCTCATCGCCAAGCTCAGATGCAAGAAATGATTGTACCTCTCAATGTCTAAAATGCTTCTCAAAACTACACCCAGAAAAAGGTTTAGTTATAATAACCAAGATTTGGTTATAGTGATCAAGTGGCATAGTTGGATATGGCGAAATAAATATATAGTTCACGAAAGTCTGCAATTTACTTAAGACTTCTAGTTGGGACAAATGTATATTTGTTAATAATTACAAAAAGACTACCTTGATTGGACAATATTGTTAGTTGAATAAAATCATTGTTGAGCAAATATAAACAATGCTTTGGTTGATACAAGTTTTCAATTAATCTTGTGAACTTGCCGTAGACTTGAATCAGCTAACCGTTTATTATTGGGAAAAAAGTTTCAGTTTGACACAAATAAAAATTTACTCGATGTTTGTTGTGTTTACTTTCTTCTTTTATTTGCATATGTTAAGCATAAAAATACGTACATATTTACATAAGTTAGTTACTAAAGTAAATAATACATATGTATATGGTGGTAAGAATTTCCTAAAAAACAACGATGAAACAGGAGCAGTCGTGCGAAAACCCAGGTCAATATCTGCTGGAAGTATACTGCTTTGCTTTTTCCTTAGCTAAATAGACACTTTCAAATTATAATTCACATGAATTATATATCCACTGAAAAACCCCGGTTGGCATCGAACTTTATATTTTTAATTAAACTTTAAACTATGCGCGCACCGAAACAACCCGCGATGATAGCAAAACTGAAACTGTGACAAACAAGTATGGGCATGTCATAGCACACATGGCGCAGCGATCGACATGCCATAGCTTACTGAGCGCTCTGGGACCACATGCGTGTTTCACCCATATACGAACAGCGGTAGCGGAGCAATGATTTCCACGCACAATGCAATGGTCGGCATACTAGCGCATTCAAACGATTCAATAAGTGGGACTGTGTGCATTGCTCAGCTGGCGCTCTTCGTATGTGCTCAGAGAGCGCTCAGCATTCTTTAGGGGTGGCTCACAAGCATGAATATGTTCCACTCTCAAACCAAATCGTGGTTGCCTCAACTAAGATTTGGTAACTATGACTAAACCACGTGTTGAAAGAAAGCTTATCTGCATTAGCAGAGCTTAATAACATCCTTTTATTAACCATACGTTAAGTTGAATGGAATTTGTAGAAATATGCTTCAAAGAAATATTTATTAGTATTAACCAAACCCTTCAACTAAATTAACGATTTGTTACAACCTAGATGAATATTAGAAGCTTTAATATATTTAGTTATAATAACTAATCGATGGTAATAGTTCCCAATCCTTGGTAACAGTTCCCAAATATTGTCAAAATTCGGGAACTAAATATCTTTAGTTGTCGAAACTAATCCTTTTTCTCAGTGTATTGGTCCAGTGTATAGAAGAAAATACCGAAACTCAGTAGCTTTATATCTTTCAAGCTCGTCAAGGGCTCTAGGCAATCGGTTAAATTCTTTTGGCACAAATTTTCGTATTGAATGTAGTTTACAACTAACCAAACTAATTGATTCTTTACTTAGTGAAAATGGGTGACCTCTTGTTCTTGTCAAAGCGACCAAAAGCGTTTTAACTACTCCCAGACACACAACATGCATATAATCAAAAGGGAATTGCAAAACCATGTCAAGCGGCAATTTTTCTAGAATCAATTCGCTTGTAATATTATGATGTTCTGGTTGTAAACGGGTTCTAAAACTTTCGTTGGTGCGGGGTAAGGCATCCGAGTTTTTAAATATAAGACGCCGTTGAAAAGACTCGCCTTTTTGAATGCATTTATTGCAAGAAAAGTAACCAGAGTGATGCTTAACTCCTAAAATAAAAGCGCGGGCTGGGGCATCACAAATGAACGATCTTATTTTTACACTAAAATATTTTTCCTCGTAAGACATTCCATTGGCTAATAACTCTTGCAATTCTTGAACGAACTCTCTTAAAAAATTTTGGGATCCTGCGGTTTAGAGCAGCCGGCATAAATCCCCGCAACCAAAACGGGCTTAGTATCAAGCACATTTATTAGAATGGGCCAAACTTGCTTACGGGAACTTTTAAATAAAGGGAGACCATCTATATTAATGTTAAGTGAAATGTCTGAACGGTCAAATTGAAAATTGCGCAAAAAGTCCGTAAGTGCGTCTTTCACTCCATAGTGAACGTACTCTCCTGGTTGTACGAGTCTTTTAACAATCGTCCGTGGTGTACATTTCAGCGTGCGCACATCACGTAGCAAATCAGAAATTTTCTCTGACAGTAGAGCAAGCAAATCGTTCGCACCCTGTCGGCTAACATTATTCGTTAAAAACCACCGTGCCAGACGAGCAGTAAAGTTGGGAGAGTCTATTGGTACGTCATATGTATGATCTGCTTCATTACAAGCACTATTTGAATTAATATCTGCTGCTTTAGGAGTCGTGCTTGTTGCAGTCCCATTAATATGTTGAACAGAAGTTCTTTTAAAGTGCCGAAATTCGGCAATGTATTGGCGACGTTTTCTTTTAGGCAGCATTTTCTAAGAAAAGAAACTTGAGTAGCTTTAATAAATAGATACTTTATAACTACATAGATGCGATAAATAATAAGTTCTTTACATCGCGAACACTCAATGATATTACGCTTCGCAGGCGATAATACCACCCTTTGTCACTCATACGCCATGGCATGCGAGTAACAATTAAGTGCAACCCAAAATCACTCGCATGAGTGACCAAGGTATTATAAAAAAAAAAATAGTCAGTTACTTAGTTAAATATATTTATTTATTTATACTTACTATGATGTTTTATATGGTTCCTTAAAAAGTTTGATCCAACTGTGTGAGTTGTGCTATTTGTATGATAAGGATAGTCAGTTTATTAGTTTAAGTTATTTATCATGCAAAGGAGTTTCAATACTTACTCTGATTTATTTTGTGATTCCTTACAATTTTCAATTATTGTATTACGTGAACGCACATTAAACAAAACGTTTTACTTTTTAATGATAGAAAATTTCTAACAAAATGTTAACTAAAGCAATGCCTCCTTCTATTTACTTTTTCGAATATTTTGTCCGAGAAAAGTTAGAGAAAAATTATTAAACGAATACATTCTCGATACATTCAACGGACAGAAAAGCAAAAATACAAACTTCCGTTTGAAATACGAGACTCTTAGGTGAGCCGGAGCGTGCGGGTAAGAGAAACTATCGTAAAACTCGTAACATCCGCTAACATACGTTTCTTGGTCGGGTGGGTGACGACAATGAAGGGCTAAGTAAGCTGTTCCAACAATAAACGAAACCACGTCTTTTATGACCACTCCAACATATCTGCGATGTTTCCTTTACTTGTCTTTTGTTGCTTTGGAAACACAGAGTGTGTTTCACACTTCCTCCTTGTCTGCCTTGAAATGGCAACGCTGTTCCGACTTCCAAAGATAAGGTCTTCTTGGAATAGCCCTGCCTCTTTATAGCTCGGGATTGAAACCAATCCAATAAGGCTAATTTAGAGCTTGCGTCTCGGCGGAACTGTCGTGGCGGAGTGGCGGAGGACCGTTAGTCAATAGGCGCCCCACAACCCGGTGTTCTCTCCACGCTGCTCTGGATCGGCATTGTAACGACCGACCTTCAAAAGGAACTGGAGAAATTGGCCCGTGTAAGTTATGATTAGAGGACGATTTTGAGATACTCTTTTTGATCTGACTTAAGGTTATCTAAACTTGGTAACTAGGTAACTGCGGTCCGCAGTCAACCCCAGCTAGATGGAGCTGGCCTTGTTTACTAGGAAGTATAAAGTCCCTGCTGTGGCTTTTCCCTCGATGGGGATCTCCGCCTGCTGCTCTCTGACAGGCTTAAGTACTCAAGTCTGATTTATGGCAGGACGCGGTGGTGGAACCATAATATTGAGGAAATGGCAGTAAACTCGTCGGGTGCCTTATACTGCTACAGCTCCCTATTGGTAAGAAATGGGGTCTTACGCCAAAAGTAGTTCATTGGCGGTGTAAAACAATAATTTAGGACAAAAAAAAGTAGTTCACGGACGTATCAAAATTTGCAAGCAGGGTTGCTGGAAGTGTCTGGTATGGCGCTCAAAATTGGTAATGGAATTTCAGACCTCTACCAACCACGTCGGAGTACTTCCTAATCAGGCTTATTTGGGTACCGAGTTACAGTGACATTACGGGTAAGAGCGCTGCTGATGACTTTTCAAGGAAATGCACACTTGAAGCTTTACCACAGGGTATGGACCAGCTGGGGACGCCTATGGGGACGCCTTCATGCAAACTCAGCGAGCGCTGGACTAAAACTAAGAGATCGGGTGGACTGAGGGCGGTCAAAGGAGCTTTTTATGCTAGCAAAGCCTCAAACGTCGCTATTGGTGTGGGGGTTAAGGCAGGCCATTGTGCGATTGGTATTCCTTTTGTATCAGCTGTCAAGTGGTCGATGAGGACCCAACATTCGGTATGCACAGATGAGAGATTTTGAGGAGCATTCGGGCATTGAGGTTAGTCGCATTCGTAATCGGCTCCCGGTCGATCATAAAAAAGAATATGACCTCGATGGCTTGGAGCCGTCTACTTTCGCCTACTTTGGTGTGCGTTGCTTTTTGTTCCTGGAATGTCCGGACACTCTGCTGGATGGCTTCATAACCGCAGTATAGGACATGCAAGAAATGGTACACGGCTGGCGATTCCAATTTGTGGGAACCTCCCATCGGAGGAGAAGGACGATGATCTTGACAGCGATTTCGATGCCAGGGTGGGAAAAAATCTCTATATATTTAAATTTGATTATTACAAGCTTGTAATTAAGTGTAGATACGTATATAAAAAATACATACATACATTCTTATGTAGGAAACGAGTAAGTAATACACATGTGTATATAAATTCATATAAGGCTTCCTTGTACTGTTAAAAAATATTTACAAGTTCACACATTTACAGTTCATACATTAATAGTAAAAATAAAATTCAGAATACGTGCTGTATGTACATTTACAACGAATTAGAGTAATGCTATTAACATAGCTCTAAAAATTCCTAAATTACAAACAACCTTTGTATTTACATATACCTACATATGTATATGTAGATATGATCCTCAATAACTCGGTTCAACCAATTATGATTTATGTGCCAACAATGGAGTGATTGGTTTATCTTTTCGGCGTCTTTCTTCATTTTGTTGCGCCTCCTTCTCGCCATATAAATCAAGATGTCTGCCATGGTACCAGACCAGGATGTCGAAGACTACGCCGATGAAAGTGAGGGCTAAAGTAAACAACAAAACAGCCAAAACGATTACATATTTCACGTCACTAAATATTTATTTAGAACCACTAGACTTACATAACGCCAATATATTCACGTAGTATCGGAATTTCGTTTGTTCATACAGCTGACAATTGCCTCTACCATTACAAGTTTCCGTCCACACCAGACATGTGGAATCAATTATACGTCCAAATATTATCGGACCAGGTATAAGTGCCAACAGGCTGATCATCATCAATGAAAGACCCTGAGCGAAGGATTTATCTTGTGTCGAAACGGAGCGATAATTAACCAATAAATTACCAATACGGCCAGAAGAGCCAAACCAATTTACGATCATCGAGGCAATTGTGAAACTGTAAAATGCCACCGAACAGCCTTTGAGGCACACTCCAGGTGTGAGTATTTCCGTAAGTGCGTCTACAGAACGGTGAGCACGCGAAAGTATGTTATTAGCGGTTTTCGATGGTTCGGGTAGTGTTGTCGGCAATGCGAAGTCGGGTATCGTCGTAATGGATGGTAGTGTTGCTCCAGTTGTTGCGTGTGAACTTCTAACTTGCACTTTTTGCTGTTGTAGTTGTTGTTGAGCGTTTAAATTGCTGCTAAGAAAACTAGGAGTGGTACTCGTATAGAAGGGAGTGGTGGTATAATCGGGGGCATCAACGCAGGAGCAATTGGAAAAGATCTGAAACAAACAAAAAAAAGAAATTTCTAAGGACACGCCTTTTTTTATTGATTAATAAAAAAAGAAAAATCCTTCTATTTAAGTAATATTTATGTGTTCTATACATAAAACAAATCGTAACTGAATACGGATTTTTCAAATAGCACGACACCTGCGCCACTTAGCGGATTAATAGCTCTTTCATATTGGATTGTCATCGGGCTCTGAGCTAAGTTTGAAGTTTCAGATCTCTAGCTCATAAGGAAGTTGGGTAAAAATTGATTGCAAGATTTGATTTCACACAGATGAAAAATAACAAAAGCTTATAATAAAGAGAAAAAGTTAAGATATTGTGAAGTAATTAAAAACTGGCGTGAAGTCCGGTACTCCTGAAATTGGTACCGTTAAATACATAAATAGGTTACGCTAGAAATTAAAGATTAATTTCATTTCATTTTATTAATTTTTTGGCATCAGTAAACAATTTTTTCAGAGCCATTTCGGGAATAGTTCAGGGTGATTTCGTGACTAGTCTTCAACTACCCTGATCCAGAACTAGTCCAAAATTGTCCTGAAGTATTCTGAAGTGGTTCTGGAAAAGTTGTGAACTTCTCCCGAAAGGATCTCGAACAAATCGTGAAATGGCCCCTTATTAGTCCCAAAATGATCGCAAACTAGACAAAAATAGTTCGGAACTAGTCTCAAAATAATCCAGAATTAGTAAAATTAGTTCCGAAATGCTCCTAAACTAGTTTTACCCATATTAAGATATTTACACATAAAAAAACACAACCAACTTCAATTATCGAATATCGCTTATATGCTCATACAAATTTACGAGTACGGTACTCGCTCGTGATCCAATCCTCGAAACTAAATCAAATTTGGATGGGGCCACATCCCAGGTATCCCCTTCCCCACAAAAGATTAATCGAATTCGATTCAAGTTGTCAAAAACTATACGAGTATTGTTTACAAAAACTAAGAGTACCATTAGTTTCTGCATGATCCAATGATCGGAACTGTACCAAATTAGATTGAGAGCCCTCTTGAGGTACCAATTTTCTGACAAAAAAAAAAAGAACTATCAAAAACAGTTCACGTGGCCGTAAGTTAGCCGGTAACATACATAAAAAAAGAAACATTCCGATGAATTGATAACCTCCTCCTTTTTTGAAGTCGTTTGAAAATAGACTATAAGAGTATTCAGAGGGTCAATTCCCGTTCTGCGTTATCGTTGAGTGATAAAAATAACACCTTTACCGCATTTATTTCGGTGTTAATTTTATACTTTTCACTTCACTTTACGATAACGCAGAACGGGAATTGACCCTCAGAATATCGTCATTAATATATTAATTCGCTATCTGCTACTCGGTAACACTTTCAACCTCGAACGCCCCTTATTATTTTTGTAGTTAAAATTACTTTCGAATCAGCTGACGTGAAGCACTTTTATTTATAAAAATTTATTAATTCCACGACAGAAAGATTTATTAAACTTTTGATAAAATGCATGAACTATTCGCGCGAGAAAATACCAGCAAATAAGTAGGAGAAAGGAATCAGCTGATATTTTAACGCGTGTGTTATCCCATTATCTGACTTACGGAGATGGAAGTTGGTAATGATATATTCGGTAATTAACAAAAACAAAATAATGGTGGGAGTTACTGAATATTGAATGAAGACTGTTTAAGCGACTTATGCATTTCCCGCATAAACAAAGAACAGCGAACACACACACGCACTTGTATATTGCACTCCCGCCCAAAACCAAGTGCAGCGAATAAACACACGTACTTGTGCTTAAAAATAATTCGTTCGTTCTTCATTGGGTATGCATTTTTTAATGCACTTCTCAACTGCCGCAGAACAAAACCTACTAAAGTAGTTAATTGCTGGCACTCCAAATCATGCTCAACAATTCCGCTTGATGCATCACCACTCCTCCGGAGTGGTTTTAAACAGCAAAAGCCAAGCCGCTACAAGCTGTTGGGGCTCTGTATGACTTTCAGCATACAGAGGTGGTACAAGAGCTACCATTGGCCACCGTGCCTACCCAATTTTTGAACCTAAACCGGTGCTCAACACTCCGCTTGACGCACACCCCCAAAAACTCTTACAGAGTTTAAGCGGCAAAGCCACCGCGCTACAAGCCGTAGGGACTCTGCATGACTTACAACCATGCAGAGGTGGTGTAATGGCATCGCTAACAATACGGCAGCACTATTCAGCGCCGTCGTAATGTTGGCAGTCCTGATGGAACATACGTTCCACAGGTACTTAAAAACGAGCAAAAAACGAATGAAGAAATCAATTTGATATACGCCATTGAAGCAGACGGTTGTGCCAAAATTATAAAATAAAAAAGGAAATGAAATTTAAAGTTTTTGTGAAAGAAATTAAGAGTTATTATTTCAAGCGAGGTAGTATTCGGGTGTGAATAAGATTTTTACGCATAAAAGTTGACCAATCCCTACGCGCAAAAGGGTAAGCGCTATCACCCAAGTGTGAGCAGACCCAAAAGGAAATCACCAGCCGGCAGCGTAAAAGCACCAAAAACTCA